AATGAGACCAGGAACTGTCTGGTTACTGATATTCTAAAAATCAGAAAAATCGGCTGAATGGATTCGAAAACGGTAAAAACTCAACTGTTTAACTCTGGGGGAGTTGTAATTAATAGTAAATTAATAGCATGCAGCTAAAATGAGTGTTTTATATATATATATATATATATAAATTCTGAGTTTTGGTCACTTTGTGATCAGTTCAGATTAGTGGTGACAGACAACAATCCATTTATTATTTTATTTCTAAAAATGCAAAAAGTGTTCCATTACTGTAGTAGAGTCAGTTTGTAGTCATAATTATTCTAGTAACATTAAATTCGATAAACTATAAAAATGCTGGGTTGTTTTAACCCAACTTTGGGTCAAATATGGACAAACCCAAACATTGGGTTAAAAATGTAATTAAAAAATGGCTGGGTTTGTCCATATTTGACCCAAATTGGGTTAAAACAACCAAGCAATTTTTAGAGAACTAACAATCAACAACAATATATTACAACCACAGTTTAATCAAGTAATATTTTTGTAACTATTTATGCACACCAAGGCTCTGAAGCAAAAACAGTAATATTGTTGAATATTATTATATTTGAAAAGAAGTGTTTTCAATGTGAATATACAGTAAACTGTAATTTATTCCTGTGATCATTACTCCAGTCTTCAGTGTCACATGATCCTTCAGAAATCACTCTAATTGCTCCTCAAGAAAAACGTATTATTATCATCAGTGTTGAAAGAATAATATTTTTGTAGAAATTGTTGAAGCATTTACTTCAGGCAGTATTAAAGTCTTTACTGTCACTTTTTGTCTATTTAATGCATCCTGGCTGAATAAAAGTATTAATTTCGTACTAGCGAAAAATCGTACAGACCACAAACTTTTAAACGGTAAGAGTAACCAACATTAACCTATGAGTTACTGCATTAAAGGGATAGTTCAATTTGAAATGAATTTTTGGTATGTTTTAGCTTACCTCAAGGGCATCCAAGATGTAGGTGTCTTTGTTTCCGCAGTATTTTCAATTTTGATATTTTTAGGTCAAACCGTTCTTGTCTGTCAGTCATATAACAGAGGTCTATGGTCACCACCTCAAAGAGCATGCACAGAGAAATCCAAATTAAGCATAATTTAATGACTCGTAAATGTAAGTACAGAATGATGGCCTAAGACACAAAACAAGCGGTTTGTGTGAGAAAACGAACAGTATTTATATCGTAAAGTGCCCGCACTCTCAGATCACTTGGACGTGGCTGTGATTACAAGAGGTAAAAACGATATAAATACTGTTAGTTTTCTCACACAAACCGCTCATTTCATGTCTTAGGCCATCAATGTGTACTTACATTTACGAGTCATTAAATCATGTTTAATTTGGACTTCTCTGTGCATGCTTTTTGAGGTGGTGACCATAGACCTCCATTATATGACTAACAGACCAGAACGGTTTGACCTAAAAATATCAAAATTGAAAATACTGTGGAAATCTTGGATGCCCTTGAGGTAAGCTAAAACATAAGCAACGTGAACATCGAGGACATTGATGTGAAGTTTTACACTAGACTAAAGATGTGTGTGAGCGACAGATGCAAGGAAGGTAGGAGGTAAAGAGATCATGAGAAACAAAGGACACAGGCATGAGATTTTCCGCTGTCTCCTGAAGCAGCTTGAGACGGCAGAACCTTTAAACACACATGTGAATGTTTGCACAAGAGCTTCAATTGACCCCGTCAACGTCCAACGGGTCGTACTATCAGAAAGGGGCCGTCAGCGGTCCACACACAGCTGAGATCCGATACGCGGACGACCAGCTGCGCTCTGACAGGATGCAGAGCCGATCCAGATGTGCATGAAGCGATCGACGTGACAACTGTGCTTTTCACAAAGCACTTGTTTTATTTTCCTCCCGATCCTCCTCGCGGTCACACGGGATGGGCTCGGATAACTATCCGCTTCCAGCACTTGTCCAAATATGGGTCCTGCCCAACTCATGGAAACACAAACGTGCCTCCAGATCAGATACATATGTGAGACGGACAAGCGTGTGATCGCGCACATCTGTGTAAAAGCTCAGGCGTACTGTGTGCTTTGCTCCCAAAAATGCCAATAATCCCAATGATAATAAACTGAATGTTTGTGTTCGAATGAACATGTGTGTTTGCTCAAGTGTTAATGATGGACAGTGAATGTGACCCCGCGCGTCCAGCCCGTCCCGCGACCCCCGCCGCCCCAGCGTGTCGTACATTGACTGGGAGAGGATTCCTGGCAGGGCCGCAGGATCCGGCCCCCACTCATCCGAGGCCAAGGACAATGTTTGAACACCTGCCCACGGCTCTCCGGAGCGAGGGGAGGGCTTGTTATTCCCTGCGAAGTCTCTCGGTTGGGCGGCGCGGACTGGACGGGGCTAGTTTACTCTCGAACAAACCGTTCGTACACGCAAAACTCGTCCCCTCACGCCGCTGTGTGACAGACGTCGAGCCGCAGTTGTTGACTGAGGGAATTTGAGCGCATGGAAAAAGTGAACGATATGCTTGTAAAAAATCTGCCAATCAGATTCCTCTATCTGGTGTGATTGTTCATGCTTCGTTTATATCGGTCTCCAGGGTCCAAAATTAACACTCGCCAATTGACAGTGTAATGTTATATCAACCCGATCTCACGACCAAGTCGTACTAATTCGACGAATGATTAAAAAGTGGCTAATTCGTAACAATTCATTTGACCTCACTCGTACGAATTAATAAGATTTTGCTAAATCGTACATATTTTACGAATTGGCCAATTCGTATGAATTCGTACGAATGACCTACCCCTTACCCCGCCCCTAAACCTAACCATCACGTGGGTTTAGACAAATCGTACGAATTAGTACGAGTGAGGTCGTACGAATTAGCCACTTTTTTAATCATGCGTCGAATTCGTACGAATTGGTCGTGAGATAGTGTTGGGTATATGGGTACAATATTAAGAATGATGGAAGAAAAGTCAAAGAAAAGAAATTCAAAAAACCTCCTTTTTTATGGTTGAAAAATTAACCACAAGAAGTAATTTTATCAGTAAGAAATTGCAATAACCCATTGCAATAAGGACATTTTAATAATATAATATAAGGTTACGCTTTATTTTAGTCGGTATTACAGTGTAATTATACATTTAAGTACTATTAGTAAGTATTACACTCTTTTTACCTAGCTTTAATACATCAAAATAAGTTTTTTTATTATTATAAATTTTTATAATATTGTTAAACACGATTCAATTAATTTTTTAAGTCAGTTTAATATAATAAGTTGAAATGACTTAAACATCCAAGTTGATTGTACTTAAAAATTTAATTCAGCATGAATATTGAATTTATTGGTTGATTCTATTGAATTTGTGATTGATGAGATTACGTTTTAAAATGCAATTATGTTTAGGATTGGGGATAGAGTTAAGGGATATAACTATATATACATGTAGTTCATGAAAACGTTACAATGTAAACACATTTTTATGTATAAATCCAATTGATACACATTTATGCTTCATATATTTGTAAGCATATCAGGAGCAAATATTGTTGGTTTAACTTAAAAAAATGAAGTAACCTGGTTGCCTTAAAATTTTAAGTTCATTGAAATGGAAAAATGGTGTTAATACAATGAAGGAGAATGATTTAATCATCAGAAACTCAAAATATTATGTTATCTGAACTAAATAAATGATTTAAGTTGATTTGACAAAAGAAAAAAATGTTGTGATTACAAATCATGAAAATATTTTTTTTACAGTGAAAGTACTCTAAAAACAATTACATGATCAATACGTTATGATAACATTTGTTTTTACATAGCTTTAATACATCAAATTAATTAAATCAATTAATACATTTTTTATTATTCATCATTATGTTAAACACGATTGAACTCATTTTTTTAAGTTGAAATGACTTAAGCATGCAAGTTGACTGTACTTAAAAATTGAATTCAGCATGAATATTGAATTTATCGGTTGATTCCATTGAATTTGTGATCAATTAGATTACGTTTTAAAACGCAATTATGTTTAGGATTGGGGATAGAGTTAAGGGATGTAACCATATAAATACATATAGTTCATGAAAACGTTACAACGGAAACACATTTTTATTAGGGCTGTCAAACGATTAATCGCGATTAATGGCATCCAAAATAAAAGTTTGTGTTCACATAATATATGTGGGTGCACAGTGTATAATTATTTGTTATATACATAAATACACACACATGCATGTTTATTTAAGAAAAAAAAATGTGATTTATACATAAAACATTTATATTTATATGTAATATAAATTATACATAAATTAGGGCTGTCAAACTATTAATCGCGGTTAATCGCATCCAAAATAAAAGTTTCTGTTTACATAATATATGTGGGTGCACTGTGTATAATCATTTTCTATTTATAAATACATACATACACATGCATGTATATTTAAGAAAAATATTATTGAGATGTAAAATATTTATATTTATATTCACATTATAAATCTACATACAGTATATACATGAACATATTTCTTAAATATATACAAGCATGTGTGTGTATTTATATATGTAAAATAATTATACACAGTGCACCCACATACTGTATATAATGTAAACACAAACTTTTATTTAATTGTTTGAAAGCCCTAATTTTTATGTATATAGTTAATTGATACACATTTATGCTTCATGTATTTGTAAGCATGTTAGGAGCACCTACTATTGATATCTAATAAATAATGCACATCAGTTAGGTACGGTCAACAGGTTGTTAATAACACTGTCGATGAACGAAGAACTCACTTTTTGTACATGGCATATGAATGCATTAACAATGTAGAACTATGAATTAACCAAAAACCAATGGATTGCAAGTGTTTTGTTACTGTATACATATTAAGTGAAAAATCACACTCCCTGTCTGTATGAATATGTGTGCGAGTGTGTTGGTGAATGTTTGTATATGTGTGTGTATCTGTAGATCTTACCTTCTTTTTGTCCCTCATGGAGCCTTTCCCTCTCACCATGATCTTGCATCCGGTCTCGGCCTCCAGCTGCTTGGCTGTGAGCCCCCGCGGGCCCAAGATCCGGCCCACAAAATTAAACTGCAACACACAAACACACACACACATCTCACTCACTGCATCTGTGTCCGGATGGAGCCATTTCCAATACATACTTTGGCATTCGACAAGTCACTGTTTCCATCAACAACACTACAGTGTAAAATAACAGATTATATTGAAGCATTATTATGCGAGAGCATTACTCATCATATTCTGAAATTAGTGCATCGTTAATAATGCAACTCCACAAGAATCACCGACACTGGCTTATCACACACAGTACAAAAATTACAATTACAAGTTTTTGAAGCTCTTAATGGTCTCGCACCACAATATTTATTCACAATATTTAGAGTTAACAGTTGTTCATTGGGCGTTCAATCTTTTAATGTCTCGGCCCGTAGATAAAGCAAATCCCATCTCATTTGAGCTCATCCACATTCAAAACGCCAAAACACATCCGTTCGCTCAGGGTAATTTGAATGTTTATGTATTGTAATCTGTGTTGAGTAAGTTACTGTAAAAAAATACTGTAATTACTTTTCTTAAAAGTATTGCATTCCTTAAGAGTTTGGAGTTAATCGCATGTGTTAAAAGGTTAATGTTTATTAAAGTAGTTGTTCACTTTTTAAAAAAAACTTTTGCTGGTAATTTACTCACCCCCATGTCATCAAAGATATCCATGTCCTTCTTTCTACAGTCGAAAAGAAATGAAGGTTTTTGATGAAAACAGTTACGCATTTTTCTCCATATAATGGACTTCAATGGGAACCAAACGGTTCAAGGTCCAAAAGACAGTTTCAGTGCAAACTGTTCAAAGGGCTTTAAACGATTCCAGACGATGAATAAGGTTCTTATCTAGCGAAACGATCGCTCATTTAGTAAATAAATAACAAAGTTTAAGTTTTATAAGCTCAAATGCTGGCCTTGCTCTGTTCTGTGACGCACGTTTGTGACTCTCCTGTTGGAACTCATCAAAATGAATGAATCTTTTTGTGTGTCATTTGGTTCATTCAACGAATGAAATTAAGGAATTGACTCAGAAAAAGATTCGTTCATTTTGATGAACGAGTTTGAACAGGAGATTCACTAACGCGCATCACAAAACAGAGCAAGGCGACCATTTGAGCTTATAAAACTTAAACTTTGCTATATTTTTTTTTTAAATGAGCGATCGTTTCGCAAGATAAGACCCTTATTCATCGTCTGGTGTCGTTTAAAGCCCTTTGAACAGTTTGCAGTTTGCACTGAAACTGTCTTTTGAACCTTGAACCGTTTGGTTCCCATTGAAGTCCATTATATGGAGAAAAATCCTGGAATGTTTTCATCAAAACCCTTAATTTCTTTTCGACTGAAGAAAGAAAGACGTGGACATCTTGGGTGACATGGGGGTGAGTAAATTATCAGCAAGTTTTTTTTTGTAAAGTGAACTAATCCTTTAATGCATTCAAATAATTGAACACAAATACATTACTGAAGCACGTGAAATTGCGTCATTAACGTAACGTCTCGCAGTTAGATGATCTTCGGGAGTTTATATCTACAATTGAGCACCCTGTAACCCTGGTTAGTGGAAATTTCTATTCTAACCCTTTAACCCGATTTCGCTTCTCTGTTTGCGATCAGATCATTTTAATCTGCTAAACTCAGTCCAATGAACCAGTTTGCAAATTCCTTCCAACAATCAGTCCAAAACCGCGCTAATGCAAAGAAAAGCCGGCTGATCACATCCGAGAGTGCAGGGAGAATAGAGACTCGCGCTGCATTTTCAGTGAACGACTCATTCCTGTGTTTATTTCACTTTAAAACACGAGCTCTGTCATTTTCTGACACATCTTTTCAGAATGTACAACCCGATCTCACGGGAATTTGTACGAATTTTACGAGGTGGCTAATTCGTAACTTAAGAATTAGCCAATTCGAATGAATTCGTACGATTGACCTACCCCTAACCCCGCCCCTAAACATAACCGTCACGTGGGTTTAGACAAAGAGTGAGGTAGTATGAATTAGTACGAATTAGCCACTTTTGAATCACTCGTACGAATTTGTACGAATTGGTCGTGAGATAGGGTAGGAATGTACACAAACTATACGTTTTTTTTTTTTTTTTTTGTGTGGGTGCTTTGGTGTGCATAAATTTATTAATAATAAGGACTCATGGTTATTTGGTGTCCTTTTGGAGTCTCCAAGTGTCCTTTCATTTTCCTTGAAACAAAAAAAAAGCTTGCAGAAAACACAATTTTGAGAATTTGGATCAATCTAATGATTTACTTTGCTAGATACAGCAAATCATTACAAAATGAATGTGTAAAACAAGATAAATGGTTTATGGTTAATTTCATGACGTACAAGTGTACAGAAAATCATGATCTATTGACAAACCTAATATATATTATATTTTATTTAACTGGGACACTTTTTGCAATTGATATGACTGGAAAAACGTGTTCCAGTCAACCAGAATATATATATATATATATATATATGAAGAGTTCAGATGCAAAAGCCTCTAAGTGCCATTTGAAATTTTCTTCTAAAATGATCATTTTTATCAAGCTTGTATATTTAAGTTCAGTAATTTCACTTAAATGGCAATGAAGATTACCTATTAATTGCCATTTCAGTGAAATCACTGAACTTAAATATACAAGCTTGATAAAAATTACCATTCTAGAAGAAAATTTCAAATGGCATTTAGAGGCTTTTGCATCTGAACTCTTCATATATATATATATATATATATATATATAGCAATTTCACACGAGTAGGAGTGTGATATGGCTCTATATCTGCACGGCTGTGATTCGGCCATAGACATTTTTCTTTACATTCAATCTTTTCCAAGCTGATTTTAGCGTTTTTTATTTTATTTTATCAAAAAACCCTACCATAAGACTCTCCATAGACATAAAAACCCTGCCATAAGACATAAGACTACCATAATGTGTTATTATTATACACACTGTAAAACCTAACAGTTGTACTAGCTCATAACTAATGAGGTCATTACAGTCAAATGTCCTTATGCAGTTGAACAAACTATTAATTATTGAGCTCTGTTGACATTTATGCCACTTTAATTGAATAGGGCTCAAAATTTGATAGTTAATTTGTGTGGAGCACTCAAAAAGTTTAGGAGTAGTGGCATGACGTCATGACGTGGTGGGTGGGTCTTATCTCTGCCTCAGGAAAGCTGAGTCAGCCATCTTGAATTTGCCTTCATGCGGAGAAGTTTTCATGGAAGTTTTTACAGTTTAATTTGTTTTTATTCATTTGCAATGCATTTTTTATCCCCTCACTTCAAACCAAGACCTCAGTTTTTTCATCTTTGACCTGCCGTCATTTCAGCGCCGTCTTATCAGCCCTGATTTGGTAAGTAATGCTAACATTTTTTGTTGTTGTTTTTAATTGAATTTCGATAAATAGTCTTACATTTGGAACTGGGAATACATGTATATAATATGCACAGTGAATATTTGTTGTAAATAGTATACAAATCCGAGTAATTGTAACTAAAAATGTTTGAATCTAACAACGGTGTACAGTTGGCGGGTTTCCGGAAGAACTACATTTCACATAATGCATGTTTTCCCGGGACATTGACGTAGAGGAACGACCGTGAGTTTGAATTTTCTCGTGGAGTCCGAAACGCTCCTACTGTCTATGGTCCGAAAGCATAACGTTAACTTATCCCTGCTTCCCAGTTTCTGCCGGCTGTTGTTTTCGCTGGTAATGCATGTAAAGTAACGTTTTACTTATTTGTAAGTGTCCGCGTTAAACAGTAAGTATTTCACGCTGACGAGCTGTGTGTTTGTGTGTAGCGCCAGCGTGAATCTAACAATGCTAAACAACATAATGTCAGTGTGTTATCATGAAACCAACAAGGTCTTTGTGTGTATTTCTTTCCAGGCTCGAGTGTTTGGTTGTGAGATGATCATCTAGGAATCTTTTTTAAAAGTTCAGGTAGGATGTATTATGAAATAATGTTATTAGCAGTAACAATTGGTTTTATTTTGTGTTTCCACTGTCATTCTTTTGCCATTTCTTTAGATGCTTTTATCACTTGAACCCTTTATTAATACTTTGTTAGTATTAATGAAACAAAACATCAACAGAAATGGCATATACACACACAACTTTGATGCTGTGCTTGTTATTAATTAACTTTTCATTTTACTAAAATTACTGTACAATGAATGTTTTTGATAGATTTGTAAATTTTGGATTTTTATCTGTAAATGTACTTTTTTAAATTTAATTTATCATTATGTATCGTTTAAAAAATGTTTTTAGAACATTGACTAATCATCTTTGTGTGCATGTTGTGTATAGATATTGGACTTGAGTGCTACAGAGAGTCAGCGTTTCACCATCAGACAGTCGCAATAGGTGAGATTTGTAAATTGTTTACTGATATGATTTTTTTTTAAAAGCAGATTGAAATGAAAAGTATTCTCTATTTGATAACATTATACAGCCTGTTTTAAATTAAAGAATGACAAATAACTTTCTATTTTGACATTGGTTCTGACTCATCCCTAGTAGAATTGCCCTTGTTTTTCCTACCTGGCAACTGAAAACTTAAACTAAAAATACGTTCACAAGTCTCTCCATGTATTGCAGAGTTTCACCGAATCAACAACATTAACCTGCGGAATTAATTCTACAAGGAGCTGGACAGACACACGCCTAAACTCATCACCTTGTTCAGAGACCACCAAGGGCCACCAAGACTGTCAAGACAGTGGAGGAGCTAGCCAAACTCATCAGGATTTATGACCTTCAGGTGAATTTTAAACTTAACATGATTCAGAAACAGATTATTTACAGATTATATTCAGTCAACTAAGAAACCATAGTGAATTGCCTGGACTGTGCCCTGAGGCTAATAGATTATTCCATGAACAACATTGTCATATCATCAGAGATAGACATCCTGACAAGATGTATTCTATCAGAAAGAGGTACCTTTAAAAGATACTTTCAGTTTCAATTTGAAGATATCAAAATAACTACTGTCTGTATTCATGAAATTTTGTTTACAATTTTAAGTTTTTTTTCCTTTTTTGTGTTATTCAAGTATTTACAATAGAAAGTAATTTATTTGAAAAATGTTTTAATGAAGAAATGGTGAACCAAAAACACTGAATCTACCATTCTATAGCAAAGACCACCATCAGAATATGGAGCTATTTACCACTTTTCTTTTTTTTAATTGTTTGTTCTGCATTTGTGTAATTACTTTTGTAATGTATATTTTTTGTCCATCTAGGAACAACGTGATATAAATATATGATGGGACCTCATCCTCGGTGCACTTCCTGTCTACCTGCATGAAGATTCTTTAAGTTCTTCAGGACCTGTAATGTAAGTGTACTGTCCTCACTATCAATCCCTTTGCCTTGCTATTCGGTCAGCTTAAACATATCTCTCCAAAAACTATAGGAAAACCAGGCGGGTATTTCAGAAAGCAGGTTATGTGAAAACTCTTGACTTATCCATTCCAGAGGGCTACTCCAGAAAGGAGGTTCAACAAACTCTAAGCCTAACCCTGAACTCTGAGTTGACTTACCCTGAGTTTTTAGTTGCAGAATAGCTGATCTGAGTTAGGTAATTCAACTCCGAGTATGTTAACTCTTGAGTTGAGCTTGTGCTTCACGAGCAGTATAAAGCCATCAATGGAGCTCTGATACTGTGATTCTCCATGGCAATTAGATTTAACTTAATCTCTGGGTCTTTTACTGTGGTAACTTACGTTGTGAACCTCAAGATTTGCTTGAAGAAACCCTGAGTCTTACGGAGCTGCCTGACAGCATCTGTCCTTTCTTTTTCAGTCCAATCATGTTGAAGCAGAAATAATTCACATAGTTTGATTCATTTTGATGAGCTCTCACTCCCTGACAAGGACTGAACCGAACAGTAGACCGCTCTCTCATCAGTCCGCAATTTATATACTTCGGCCGCACAGTGAATATCAGACTACACGTCATTGCTGATGTGCTCTCAGATCAGAACAATCGTCTTTGTTTTAGCTTTTTTTTTTTTTTCACCAGCCGGCAGAAAAAGAGAAATAACTAATAATACTATAATAATAATATTTTAGAGTACCTAACTCAGATCAGCTATTCTGCAACTGAAAACTCATGGTAAGTCAACGCAGAGTTCAGGGTTAGGCTTAGAGTTTGTTGAACCTCCTTTCTGGAATAGCCCCCAGGACCTGAGTTGTTATTCTTAAGTAAACTGTTATTCTCAAGTTATTATAAATGAAAAGGTAAGTATAAAGCTTTCCACAAAAAGTATGCCAACAGATATAAGCATATGTAAAGAAAATAGTTTAAACATGTAGCTTAGTAGTAGTCTAAGTGTCAGTAATGTTTAAAGATCATTGGCATGATTTGTATCCTTGAGGGGCTAAACTCATTCTTGTATTATTTGTGTTTTATAGTCAGGAGTTGGTCCAGACCTCACCGATACTCCAGTGGCTCTCCTGACAGTCGCAACGGATAACACTACTGATGCAGCCCTCTTCTGCCCTGAGAGTATCTGTCGTGAAGGATAAAATACTTGCAAGCTCCTTTTGTGTCTTTTTAAAAGCACATTGTTGAATAAAAAAAGTTGCTAAATTGTCACAGTGGTGTCACTTCATCTTTTCTGACATTATTAGCTGAGTAAAATTGTGTAGTTGGCTGACATCAGGATTTTAGTTTAGAGTAAATGTTGAGTGCATATCCCACTTTATGAGTAGAAAACTATAGGAAATTTAGTGCATTTCCTACATTATGAGTTTAAGAAAAGTGAAAATTGAGTATATATCTGACATTTTATGAGTTTAAGAAAAGTGAAAATTTTGAGTGTATTTCCAACATTTTATGATTTGAAGATAATTGAAATTTTTGAGTGAATTACTCACTAATTTTAAGTTGAGAAATATCAATATTTTTAAGTTAACATTGAGATAATTTAAGGCAACATTAAATATAACTTTTAATTTAAGTAAACTTAAAACTTTTAAAAACATCACTCAAATATTTTTGTGTAATCTGTTACAAAATAATTTTTGAGTTCTGTGAACTTATCCGGGTTTACAGTGCATTAAATATCACTCGCCTAGTGAATTCTGATACTCCCATGTCTGCAGGCAGAGGCAAAATTAAATGAAATGCATACTAATTGGTGGATTAGAGAGAAAAATAACATTTTTGCCATTTTTGCCATTTAAGCCCGGTTATTTTCTGACCCTGGTTAGCCCAAAAGTGATCATGAACATGCAAGATGGTTTTAAGACAGTAAGGAGTTGTAATTCAGGAGAACTGTGCAAAAGAAAGTCCCTGGAAAGTACTTTGTTGGCCGAGTGTTATCACAGAGCTCACACGCCAGCGCCTCCTCTGGACCTTCACTGACAAGATAACAGCCGTCAATTGTTCACTTAATCGATCAGGTATCAGCACTGACCTGAAGGCTGTCGGTCTGAACACCGACAAATGTTTTTGTGTTACAAACAATACCTTACCTACTCTGAACACCTATCACTCAAAAGTGTGGGTTTTTATGTTTCTGAAAGTCTCTTATGCTCACCAAGGCTGCATTTAATTGATCAAAAATACAGAAAAAACAGCAATATTGTCAAATAGTATTACAATTTAAAACGGTTTTCTATTTTAAAATGTAATTCCTGTGATCAAAGATGAATTTTCAGCATCATTACTCTTCAGTGTCACATGATCCTTCAGAAATCACTCTAAAATGATGATTTGGTGCTCAAGAAACATTGGTAACACTTTGTTTCGATAGTCCACTTTAGACATTCTACTTACTAAGCTGCAATCTCCATTTACTCTCATTAGAGTATTAGTAGACTGTCTGTCTAATATCGGCTAACACTTTATTGTGATGCTCCCCAATAGACATTCAACTGACTAGGAAACTCTGCAACTACATACTAACATCTCACACATAACCCTAACCTAACAGTCTACTAATGAGAGTTAATTGTTATGGCAAAGTTACTTATTAGTAGTAGAATGTCTAAAGTGGACCATCGAAATAAAGTGTAACGAAACAAATTTTCTTATTATGTTGGAAACATTAGCGTTGCTTAGTCTTTTTCAGGATTCTTTGATGAAACTTTCTTAATAGAAACTGCAAAAGAACAACACTTTTGATCAATTCAATAATTATATAATTTAATTAAATAATTCATTTTAATGTATCATTGCTGAACAACTATTTATTTCTTTAAAAAAAATCTTAATGACCTTTCCAAAGTTCTGCATTACATGTCTGTAAATTAAGCAAGCTCATTATCTTTTAAAAAGAACTGAACTTATATTTTAAGAAAAGCGTATTTTTAAGTATTTCTAAGTGTCTGCGTATTTTTTTTCCCATTTTTCATTTTTTTGTAAGCACTTTGAGATTTGATGTCAAATGTAAAGTGCATTATAAATAAAATTCATCATCCTCATCATTATGTATTTAAAGAATAGTAACTATAGTAATAATATTGTGTAAATTCAAAATATATAGAGCACAAGATTTTACCTGTTATTTCAGATTATGTAACATTACTTGTTACATTACATTACATTAACTCATTACCCTCATCACAACCAACGATCTCCTCGTACTTTGAGCTGTACAGTCAAAGTGTTTTTAGGAAGTTTGCCTGTTCCCATCTCTTTCTCTTCCTTAAGGGAACTCCATTCTAATACAGCCAGAGTGACGTACAGGGGTTCGTTTTAGAGATGAAACTCAACGCAATGCAGCCTTGCGTTCTGCAAAATCCCATTTTACACGACAGACCTCCTGCTCTAATCAATAAGCCTTCGGGGTCTGCTTTATCAATGTGTTTGGTATTCCGACGCTACGCTCTTTTCACATGACTGACTCCATGCATAATCGACTACTGGTAAAACACAGTCACTGAGTATGTGTTTGTGCATTTTCTCACATTTATTTTGGCACCCTTCATCCCTGTCCAAGAGCCTTGCGGATATGAATGAAAAGAAGCAATTAAATTTTACTTGGAGGCTCAAAGCACCAGGGTGCGCATCGCATTTGTATGCGTGTGCGCTCCCCCTTCGAATAAAAGTTGTGTGCCTGTGTTTAATATTTCTGCATGTACATAAATAAATCAGCATCAAACAAGGATCTAATATGAGAAGACTGTCACTCCATCATTTGTTATTAGTAAACTTGTTAAAATATACAAATTACACCTTTTACATTGTTAAATTAAAACGTGTTTAATGTCTAAAAGCGAAAAGCTGTCAATCCAATGTTCATTCATGTTTGCACATACTGCATTAGTGACATGCATCCATACAACACCTCTACTGCCTTGAAAACAACATCCATGTTAAAGGTGCAGTAAGTGATATCTGAGAAACACTGTTGAAAGTGGATCAGACTGAGCAGCACAACACACTTGTAGCCAATCAGCAGTAGGGGGCGTGTTCACTCATGTTGGGGGAGGAGAGAGAGAGAGACAATTAGCAGTAAGGGCATGTTCACTCATTATGGGGGAGGAGAGAGAGAGCCAATCAGCAGTAGGGGGCGTGTTCGCTCATGATGGGGGAGGAGAGAGAGAGCCAATCAGCAGTAGGGGGTGTGTCTACACATGACTGGGAGGAGAGAGAGCCAATCAGCAGTAGGGGGCGTTTGCACTCATAATGGGGGAGCAGAGAGAGAGCCAATCAGCAGAAGAGTATGTGTCCACTCATGATGGGGGAGGAGAGAGAGAGAGAGAGAGCCAATCAGCAGTAGGGGGCGTTTCCACTCATAATGGGGGAGGAGAGAGAGAGCCAATCAGCAGAAGAGTATGTGTCCACTCATGATGGGGGAGGAGAGAGAGAGAGAGAGAGCCAATCAGCAGTAGGGGGCGTGTTCACTCATTATGGGAGAGAGAGAGAGAGAGCCAATCAGCAGTAGGGGGTGTGTCTACACATGACTGGGAGGAGAGAGAGCCAATCAGCAGTAGGGGGCGTTTGCACTTATAATGGGGGAGCAGAGAGAGAGCCAATCAGCAGTAGATTATGTGTCCACTCATGATGGGGGAGGAGAGAGAGAGAGAGAGAGAGAGAGAGAGAGAGAGCCAATCAGCAGTAGGGGGCATGTTCACTCATTATGGGGGAGGAGAGAGAGAGAGAGACAATTAGCAGTAGGGGTGTGTTCACTCATGATGGGAGAGGAGAGATAGCCAATCAGCAGTAGGGGGCGTGTTCACTCATGTTGGGGGAGGAGAGAGAGAGACAATTAGCAGTAAGGGCATGTTCACTCATTATGGGGGAGGAGAGAGAGAGCCAATCAGCAGTAGGGGGCGTGTTCGCTCATGATGGGGGAGGAGAGAGAGCCAATCAGCAGTAGGGGGCATGTCCACTCATGATGGGAGAGGAGAGAGAGACAATTAGCAGTAAGTGCGTGTTCACTCATTACAAAATAATTTATTGAAGCATCCAGACACTTCACCACGTGAGCAAGCAGCTAGGCTCCTGATTGGTTAACGCGGCGCGAAATCACGCCAAAGTTCAGATTTTTCAACTCGGGCGGCTGACGCGAATTCGCCTCAAACGCGTTAATGCACAAATGGCACTAACTAAATCATTCGCGCTTAACGCACCAGACGCTCAATTTGCGCCATTCGCGCGGATGCGTATTCGCGTCTTTCGTGCCGCGCTCCACGCCTCATTCGCGCCGCAGGAATTTTTCACGCGCATAACGCATCGTTGCATTGACTTAACATTGAAATTCGCGTCCGGTGTGAACATACCATTAGAGTATTAGTAGACTGTTCAGCTTAGTAGCCTAGTATAAGTTGACATGTAGTTGCAAAGTTACTTATAGTTAGTAGAATGTCTTAAGTGGACAATCAAAATAAAGTGTTACCAAAGATAAAAGTAAAAGGTAACGCACTCGTTATCGGTTATTAATGTGTTTTTATATGCTTATCAGCCTGCCCGGAAAATACCCTCACGGAGCGCCACTGGAAATAACAAGCCCTTCCAGAAGCCGAGCCACCGCAAAGGTCATGCGTGTTCAGACTGCGCTGTCACAATGTGATGGAAAACTGCTCGGTATATCAAATCAAAGTCTTCTCTTCAGGCCTGCACAGGCCAATTTTCAAGGTGCCCTTGGAGATAGAGTAATCAGCGCGAGAGACTCCAGAAGGAACGGCTTCACTCGGAAACCAGCAGGCGCAAATTATACATCCGCGGTCTCCCTGCCGTATTCACACATCTGCCGGGATTACACACACAGCTCTCTGAGGCGTATCGCAGACGCTCGGATGACCTCCGCTCTCTCCGTCTGGATTATGTGACGCTCGGGCCTGGTGAGAGCACTCCAACACAGACACATACGGACAAACCTGAAAAAAACTCGCCTTTATTCAGCTGTTGGCTTTCAGAGATGTTCCCCTGATGGGAAAAATCTGTTGCAGTGTCCTTCACGTATTGTGATTTGAGCTTGGACTATATATTCAGCTATAAAATCTATATTTTAAACATTTAATAATGAATTCAATGGACTCATTAGTGGATAACCCGTCAATATACCATGTAAAGACATGAAACAGTATTTGCGACACATTTCATTTTAGACACATGACCTTACAGTACCTGCACCCACTGTAAAT